AAATTTTATCAGCCAGCGGTCCAGATCAAAACAAACAATATAGAATGGAATATTATATAGCATAATATGAGTTTTTAATATAATGAAAATATTTATTTATTTAACAAAAGTTAAAACGTACAAACTGACATTTATACTCATAATACATCAAATGTCAATCTTGTAAGAGATCGCTCTGCTCCATATATAATCGTGTCATACATGTAAGTAATCATAAAATATTGATACTGCAACAAATCACGAGATAACTTTACTCCATATACAATCGTGTCATATTGCAAGAAATCACGAGATCATTTCACTCCAAATATTTATTTTTTAAACAAAAGTTAAAACGTACAAATAGGCATTTATATTCATAATATATCTCGTGTGTCTTAAGATAAAAATTTGATAATTAAAAATTTCGAACATCAAATGTCAATTTTGTAGGAGATCGCTCTACTCCATATATAATCGTGTCATATGTGTAAGTGATCATAAAATACTGATACTGCAACAAATCACGAGATAACTTTATTTCATATACAGTCGTGTTATACTGCAAGAAATCACGAGATCGTTTCACTCCACGTATTATCGTGTCGTACGTGTAAGTGATCATAATGGCAATATGTACTGAAAACCATAATTGAGACCAAGAGTAGTAAAAAGGTGAAAAAAAGAAGTAGGTCCAGATGTAGAAAAAGTAGAGGGCCGCACGAGGGGGTGGTCAGAAATAGGAGGTGGCAGTCTGGCAGTTGCAGAGGGAGGGAGTGTTGTACCCACCCTAACCCTACCCCACGCCACCTTCTTTCAATGGATTCTCACTGTCGCCCCTCTTGGATCCACCATGCATCCCCCAATTACTTCAATTTTTTATTCTAATTATTCTTTTTATTGTATTCTTTAGTCGGTTTATTCTTTTGATTTCTTCAATAATATTATTCATTTTGTTCTTGACGATTTTCTTAAATATAAAAGTATGAATTATATATATCATAGTTATTCATTTTTGTTCGAGACTTCATCTGTTGAAAAAATTACTACGCACACTCTACAATAAGTTTTTAACCCGAGCAGTGTTATTTTTTCATAGTTGTGATTGTGATTAACAATGAACATACGATTATACTCTATTATTATAATAGAGATCATGAAATGAATCTTATAAAAAAATTAAAATAAAAAATTCCCCACCAATCTTAATCTGCCTCGACCTCATGACTTTTACACTTTATATATAATTGCTTCGGTTATTAAATACTCTAATATTGCAAAAAATATTTAGAAATTAATCTCCAACGTACCTTCTATTTTTCTATAAGAAAATGATGAGTCTTTTGACTAGTTTTCAAGATATGTATAGAGAAAGAGATTCATTTCATGATGGCTCTATTTATCTATCCATCTGTAACTTTGATGTGTCTAGCTTGAAATACTAGTTTTAGGACATTTTTGTTTGGAAATAAGTTCTTCTTTTGGAAGTATGAAAGCATCACATTACTAGAATTTTATTCCTTGACAGGAACTTCTTTGTAATTTTGTTTTTCTTCATTTTTTTCTTTTACTTGAGAATGCAGAAGAGATAATTATTATTCTATCTTTATACGTACATGCATACTGAGAATTAAATTACTGTCAGGTTATAGTTAATTTTAAAAGAAAAAATAAAACAAGTCTCTTTTAAAAGTATTTTCATATATATACACTTTAGAGTTACCTAACAAAAAATAGTCTTTTATACATGCATGTGAATTCTGATGGTTCCATCTTCGGATCTTCCTATGGTTATAAAATGCTGATGCTGATGCTGAATTAATACAACACAATTAAAGGACAATTAATATCCATTTTCTTTATTTAAAAAATAATAATTAAATGAAATGTACAAGAATACGAATGTCACCTCGATCTTCTTCTTCACTGGGGAGTGATGACTGATGAGTTTGAGCCCATAATATTCATTTGAAAGAGTTTGTGAATATTTATCTATTAAAATAATATATATATATATATATATATAGATGACCAACATGACTCGTGTCCAGCGTAAAAAGGAAAAAGCACTATATAGAAGCAATGACACATACATGTATACTACATGTATCATTTAAATTTATATCTCACATTTAGTGAGACTCAACCTAGTGATTTTAGGTAGCTTTTTCTTTAAGATAATTTTATTAATGTTAGGGTTATTGGCCAAATTTTTTACTTTCTAAAAAGAAATCAGGAATTCAAACTTCAATAAAAACATAAATGTGCATGCAACTTCGTCGACATTCTCTAAGAAATGTTATTGAATTCTCCATATTATAAAAGGAAAACAAGCTTCTTGTCAAAATTTCATCCAGATGGCTAATATAATATTTACCTTTTCTTAAGTACATTAATTAATGTAATCATATATATATATATATATATATATATATATATATATATATATATATATATATCTAGAGAGAGAGAGAGAGGTGTGTGAAAATTGTTCTCAATTCTCATTGAACAAGAATGCAATGACAACTGCCCTTTTGCTTATTAAGCTAACATGGCTTGTAATTGTTTCAATACGAATGCATCATTTAAACTCATTATCTCACATTTAGTGAGATTCAAACTAGTGATTTTAGATAATTTTTTCATTAAGATAATTTTATGGACATTATTAAAGGGTCAGTAATTTAGCGGTACCAAATTTTTACTTCTCAAAAGAAGATCAGAAATTCGAATCTCTGTGAAGGCATAAGTGTGTGAATTGTTTTACCTTCCAATAATATATATGGATTCTCGATATTATAAAAGAAAAACAAGCATGTGTTTGAAAATTTTATTTACCTTTATATATATATATATCTTGAGAGAGGGGTGTGAAAATTCTTGTCAATCCTCATTGAACAAGAATGCATCCATTATTTTGATTCCAAACCACATGATGGCAAGGCCTTGTTTGTCTTGCCTTGGAAATTGAACGATTTCAGCGTATTTTATGCAAACTTGAAAAGAAACATGTGTATTCTATCTTATACTAAATAGAGAGTGTCTCTGGCACCCTTATACGTTTGGGGTATTTGTCGTACCAATCTTTTAAAACATCAATATTCCTCCTATGTTCAGGCTTTTTCTGATCATCATCTTTTTTTTCTCTCTCACATCAATCTTTATCCAGATCAAGATTGCACGTGCAATACTTCTAATCCTCTAAAGCAACATCAAATGCCACTGTTTCAAATATAATAATTACTAGATTTTATTACGGTCTAGTATCAAAATTCTCTTCCATCACAATTTTTCGTAGTCGGTGAATTTTACTGTGCTGAATTCGTTATTATAATGGTAACATTTTACCTATAAACAAATGGTAACAAAATTTAAACAGATTAAATTTTATGTAGTAAAATTAATGATGAAATTCCCGAAAAATTGTGACCAAGAGGATTTAGGTACATATGTGTGATGATGGATATGTGAAAGAAATTAGTTTCATATACATATATATCAGAATATATAAATAATATAATCCAACTTCAACAGGACATTGAACGGTACTTTAAATTATTGTGTTTGAAGGGGTTGGGTGGGTGTTATGTTGACTAAAATCAGCCCCTTTTTTTTTTAATCACACAAGACATTGCAAATTATGTTCTGTAGGCGCACTCACTATTACGCACATGACCCTCTATTTTGTTGAATATGGAACACTAAATTTAATATCTGTTGCACAAACAGAAACATAAGCACAAGACATTGTGTGTGTTTTGAGGGTGATAGACTGTGTGTGAAGTAACTAAAACTAGAAGGGATATATGGTCCAAAGAAAATAATTCCAAAGTGATGCTTGCTTGCTGTTGTCTGATGTTCTGGCAGCACAAGGCCGTGTGATTGGATTGTCTGAATTGACAATTCGTGTAGGGGTTTGAGGCACTTGTACATGCATATATGGTGCACATTATCGATATATACACTTTTTTTTTTTTTCAATATACGAACACCATTTTTCCATTTTTCGTACTTTTATTGGTATGTATATTTTATTCTTTACTCTCCCAACACAAGAAACAAAAGGAAATTAATTGTTAATATGTTTGCTCAAATGTTTGTCAGTTGGAGAATGATCAATTTGGAACCTGCAGTTGCAGACAACTCGATCTCCATTCCTTCCCACCAGACAAATGATGATATAAATCAAAGCAACTTATGGTATCATATATATATCTACACACACACATAAATACGTGTGTACTGTGTGTGTATCATCTTCAAGTAGAATTAATTGTTTGTATTTAAATATATAACAAATTTGAAGAAGATCAGATATGAAGGAAGAGCAACTTTATCTTGAATCAAGAACAGTCTTGAACTTGTAAATCGACATGGCTGTCTAAGTTTCTGGTAAGTTGATGATAATAATAATAATAAATAAACATATAGAAAACTCTGAATTTATTTACTGTTATTAAAAAAAAAAAAAAATCTGAACTTATTTACAAGAAAATGAAACTTTATCTTACGACATATTGGTGATGATGAGAGGAGAAGATTCTGATAATTCAAAGAAATTGCCTTCCAGAAGAAAAAAATGATCTAAAATCAAAACCCACCTAAAGAAATTTCCGGATTCTAAATTTTGTATACTGGTTTCTGAACATGAGCTTCATGATTGCGTACTTGCAGCTTTAATAAACAAGAAGACTGAATATATAAAATCAAAGGTTAAAAAAGAGAAGGGAATTGAAATTATACTACATCTATCAGAAATAATATTGAAAACCAATTAACTCAGTTTGGTTGCCAAGAAATTAAGTGGCGGAGGAAAAGAAAAATCTGCTAAGAAATATATAGTGATGCTAGCTAGGAAACTTGAAGGCAGCAATACCCAGATCTAGAATTATATGCAAAATCTAAATTCATAATTAAGCATGCATTTGACAATGCAATTAATAAACTGTGTCATGAGTCCAAGACTCAAGACTGACCTACATTTTCTTATACATCAAAACACTCCTTTTAGTTACATTTCTTCTACCATATAATTGAGATCAAAAGGTGTGGTCAAGGGTCACCACGTTCGTGCCAGCACACAAGCATCGCTATGCATCGCCGGAGAATGTAGAATTTGGCCCTCTGCTTCTTCACCAGATGACTGCACTTCTCGCCGAACGATCGGCACGTGTCCTGAGCCTGCTCATTATTGCTTAAGCTGCTGCTGCTGCTGCTTTCGTTCATGATCTATATAGCTCTCTGATCTTCCGCAAGTAGTTAGTGTTGTTGTCACTAATACTACTAGATGCACTCGTGTAATTATAATGGTAGAGGTGTGAGGTTGCTTACATTTATATTGGTTTTACGGGAACTTTGACTTTGGTCTTTATTATGGGTTTCGCTCCTCTACTATGGATACGAACTGCAACCAATTGATCATATATATTTATATATATATATATACATACTGTATTTTGTAACGAGTTGAAGTTGCAATACACCCATTTATCCTTGCAGGAATTTGAACTCTCACGGTCTCACTCTTATCACTTTTACTTTTCATTTTCTCTCTTATCAATAGGTTCGCATGTTCATTTCTGTGCACGGTGGCCCTTGAACAGTGTATTAAAAGTTCATTTAAATTAGAATAGCCTACTACTACTAGGTCACAACCACAAGTCTGAGGTCAAGTGGTTTGGTGAGGCTGTATTTGGGCAATTGACAATGTAGGTTTCTTAAAGGAACTGAGAATTAGGTCAAGACTTACCTAAATAGACTGTGTATCTGATAGGGAAACCTCCTATAATGAAGCCGGGGTAGTAGATTAGGTTGCCCCTAATTGGGCTCATTTTGGAGACCCGTGTTTGAGCTAGATTAGCCTCTTTATTTATTTATTATTATTTTTTAAAAAAATAAGTGAGCTAGCCTCTATTTAACCAGCTTAGAGTCCTAATGTTAAAACCCCACACCCGCTCAATCTTAGTTATAAATTTGCACTCGTAGTATGTAAATAATTTTGTAATCATCTAGATTATTAAGAATTATTTGTCCTGATTTTAGTTGCAAATTAAATATTTCTATTATAATTGTTCTTTGGGTATGTGGGTCACACTTAGTCTGATACATGGACTTTCACTATCTCGGACCCAGACTATAATAAATGTGTTGAAACCACAATAAAATCGCCACATGCTGTCGTCATTTAGGCATAGTAGTTAGAATTGGGCAAGATATAGGTATGATATAAATTCTCCATGTACTGTCGCAGATTTATGCTCTTGCACTTGCAAAATAATAATAGAAGCATTTGTCCTGCAATATGTGTCACAGAATAAAGCTGTTCTCGTAAGAAAATTTTACGGTTTGGGGACAATTCATAGCTTCACGAAATAAGCAACTCTACCGCTTTAAGCATCAATATTTTACCATAATTTCATTTCATGGTAAATCAACGTTGGCATAAAATTTTGGAGTTTCACATCCAAGAACATGATTGAAAGGCAAGACAGAACATTATTAACATGTAGATGTTCTTGATAGACCAACAGGTCCAGTAATATATTATAGAGAGAGAGGCTCAGTAATATGTACACTCCGGTCACTTACAGAATGGTAGAATACACATTCACCTCAACGTCCAAAAAAATACAAGTTCCCTCCAACTCCAAGAGCCAGAAGGGTAACAGCTTAGTGCCCTTTTTCGCACTTGTAAGAACAAAAACTGTTGAAATGAATCGCTTGGTCTAGACAAGCATATTTGTATAGGCATCCAGCCCTTGGCTGCGAAGACTTTGCTTCAGCTTGTACAGTGCTCGGCTCTCCAGCTGCCTGACTCTCTCTTTAGACAACCCAAAAACAGCACCAATTTCAGACAGTGATTTTGGCTTACCATCCTCGATGCCAAATCTCAGCCTGATAATTTTCCTCTCTTTAGGACTGAGAATGCTGAGGAGGTTGCGGATATGCCGCCTCATGAGCTGCTTTCCCACGCTCACATCTGGGATCTCAATCGCACTGTCAGCAGTAATTTCCTGTGGGCATTTCTACAATGTCACATTTCCATGTCTCATTGAGCAAACTATAAAACATCTACTTATACTGACCCAACAAAAGTACCATTATATTCTTGCTAAATTTCAGTACCACAATTAAAAGCAGTGCTACATCTGTAACAATATGTTGCTATTTCAATTTTCTTATATTTGTATTAATCTCCTAGATCAGGTCGATTTTGACAAGGTATTTTTACAGATGTTGGGTTGTAGAATGTGCTATTACCATTACTTCCCCGACTTTTTCATGAAATTTCAATGAACATATAATCAGAATGTGCTATTAACTACTTGTGGGCATGACAACAAGTAGTGAATTACAATTTCGGTAAATATAATCAGGCCATCAGATGGCAGTTCCAATGTTTCTTGCCTCCAAACAAATCGGACAACTACAGGCACAGAATAACAGAAGATTGTGGAAGGAGATTTCTACATAAAACTTCAATGATTTTATCTTTAAATAAGTTCCTGTTTAAAACCCCTATGATTTTATCTTTAAATAAGTTCCTAATTTAAAGCTTTACCAGATGGAAATCAAGATACAAAAAAGACTACCTGAAAAGTAGTTTTTTGGTCCATCCACACAGGCTGTTGCAATGAAAGAGGCATTTTTGCAGAAATTAGCAACCTTTCCAACTTCTCAACTGTAAAACCAGCACGAGCTGCAATTTCCTCTTTACTTGGTTGATGATTTCCTTCTTGAATGCATAGTCTCTTTGCTTCTGTCACCTTGCGCAGGAGGCCATATACATTGTCCTGTAACATTAATTTATTCTGGGTCAGAATTCGATTATAATTCAAAAACTCAAAAAACGTTATGGTGTTGGAAATTTGGCAGAGAAATGCACTGAAACAGCTTAATTTTGTGAAATACTTGAAATCAACAATCAGTTAAATTTCTTAATTTAGTCAATTAAAAAAAAATGAATTGAAAATATAGCATAGCAAGGCAACAGGAGGGTCATTACTGGTAAACGAATTGTCCTAGAATGTTGAAATATGGCCTTCCTAACTGCTTGCCTTATCCACCAGTAGGCATAAGTAGCAAATCGGCAACCAGCTTGTGGCTTGAATTTCTCTACACTTTTCATAAGACCCAAACTTCCCTCCTGCAACAGAGAGACAACAAATGTAAAGAAACAATATATTCGACTTTTAGTTGATATCATAAAGATTTGTAACACTGAACCAGCCGTATTCTTCTAATGAAATGCTCCACATTTGATTGCCAAGCGGAAAGAGAGATTGGGATTCTACAACTACCACTTTGACTCGATAAATATAAGAATCCAAGTTTCCAATGCTTTTCATAGATCTTATAGCCAATCAAGCATAGCACAGGGTGTGTATATGCTGAAACACTATAGTTGAGCACAACTGTATAAAGGAGTGCATTTACTATCCATTAAGAAGGAGACAACCCCCCACTGGGGGCAAAAAATCTGATTGATCTAAGATTGCACTTTGTGCAGCACCCTGAATTTGTAAAATAGGTAAAGAAGCCTTATTTAATGACTAGTTGTGAGGTTAAATAAAAAAAAAAAATCCTCAAGAGCAAAGTCTTGCATTTTTTATTTTTCCAAGAGAAGGGCCACCAAGAAACCGTGTCACTTGGATTTTCACCAATTTTCTGCTGTCAGAGATAGTCATATGCGTAAAGTAGAGGCATGGCTCAAAGTTAACATTTCGGTTTACCTGCAATAAATCTTGAAGGTTGAGACCACGCCCCTGATATTGTTTAGCGATATGAACCACCAAACGAAGATTAGCATAAATTAACTTATCTCGGCTGCTGTTTCCACCGTGAAGTTGAGATTTCAAGGCCCGGCAGCTTAGTCCAATGGCTTGAGCCCATTCAACCAATGTTGGTTCACGGTCAAACTGAGAGTGAAGCCTGCTTTTCACTTCCTCTAATGCCATTAAATCCTGAATATAATATAAATTACTAGCAATAATCAGTCTTCTCTATAACCCGACTATCCCTTCAATTTGTAAAATGATCAGGAGTCACAAACAGACCTGGATCTGAACAATCAATTCAGATTCTTCTTTTGCAGTTAAAAGTTGTTTTGTTTCTGGACCCCACAAGAACAATCGGAGGGGGTCATTTGGATCAAATGCTTCACTCATTTTTCGTTTCAAATCTGCTTTCCCAGAGTTGCTAGTCTCATGAACCCTAACTTTTGGCTTTGGCACCCCCCTTTTCTTAGATCGCCTCTCAAGAAGACGCGTTGACCTTACTGTTTTCTCTCCCTCCGTTAAAACATTAACAAAATTTTTGGAGCTTGTACTGAAAAACAAAATAAAATTAAGACATCAATCCCAGAGAAATTGACCTAGAAACAAGAACATTAATAATAAGAAAGCAGAGCAGTTAACAAGAAACAGACCTGGGAGAAAGAGTCTCATCAAGTTCAACTCCAAATAATTGTGGGTTCTCGGTTAATAAGGCAGCTTGTTTTGAGGCTGACAAAGCTTTCTTAGCAAGGGCAACCACATTATGTGGTTCAACATCCATAAGCTTGTTTGTTTTACTTGGAACAGACTGCGCAGTTGAGGATGGTGTTTCCCCAGTCTGTAAGGATGGCAATCTGCAGAACGTTCCCACACAAGCAATTAATAAGATAATAGTTATAAAAAATAAAAATAAATAAAAAGCACACACATGCAGCATTGTTACCTACACTTGATTATTCCCAAGGGAAGATACAAGATTACGTTGCTCTTAAATTAGAGGAGGATTTATTAAGTGCAATAATGTTTCAGACACATTGTCAAATCGACGGATGCATCCAAAACTGAAAAGTAAATTCTAATTAACTATCAGTAAGCTTCTACTGAATTTAGGTGACAGAGAAATGTGTCTATAAAGTGAGATATATTCTAACTAACTATCAGTAAGCTTCTACTAAATGCGAATGTTGAGATATATGGTGGCAAGACAAACAAAATAATATTGGAAAAATGATAGAAGTAGCCCCATTGGAAATAAATGATATAACTGACTAAGATGATTTGGCTGCATGCAGTTAAGACTAATAACAACAGCATTGAAAAGAGTGACATGATCAAAATTAAAGGTAATGTTAGGGTAAGAGGAGCAAAATTAAGAAAGATATGGTAGCGTGTGATTTAATGGAAGGTATAGGCTTAGATACAGCAACATGATTAGTTGAGAAAGTTGAGTTGAATTGGATATTTAACAAAAACAGATAAGGCACAAGAAACAACGAATATTTTATTGTATCAGGAAATAGCAAATTGATACAAGTAGTAAGACAAAGGGGTTTGATTAATCTTACAAATACGATAAACCTGGCCAGTTAAGCAACTGGTGTTGAAAATCCTTAAGGTATTGAAAAGAATCAACAGTATTATCCTCTTCATGTACTGAGGACCCAGTTTCCATCCGCCTACTATCCAATGTTACCTTTAACAGGATAAAATCACAACAATAATCAATGCCACATTAGTGGAAAATCTTCTAGAGAGGGAGAGAGAGAATAACACAAGATTTTATCACATTTGATTTAACTGTTACATTTTGATGTGGCGTTTCACAAAAAAATGTTGCATTATAGTATATGAAAAAATAAAATTCTGCACTACAAAGAACTGCATAAAAACAAGACATCCTGAAAAGATTTACTGAAAATAATATTAAAACAATTTAAAGAAAAAAAAAAATCAATCAAAATTTTGGAAGCATAATTATACGCTTGTGTTGGGGTTTTCCCGATATATACAGCTATAATACATCCACGAGTCTCACCTGGGATATTCTATCGTCCTTCGTTACGTGCAAGAAAGGCCTACTCTCATCGCGCTGCTCTTGTAGAAGAACTGAGGTAGGAAAATGTCGAGCTAAAGAAGTAGTTGGTACAGAGGTAAGTGCAGGAGCCGGTTGCTCATGAAGCATCAAAACTACAAAATTAGCAGATTAACATGAGCATGATGTTCTGGAAACCAAAACGACCTTATATGTACAAGTTAATGGCTAAAAATAATAAAATTATTTTCTTCAAGTTATATAAACCTACACAAATAGAAATGCCTTACAAGATTAGACATGACTGACAAGGAGAAGAGTTGAATTCGTAAAAAATGTATCCATTCTAACTCCTCCTATTTCTACCGGATGTAAATATAACTTCTCATATTTCAACATAAGCAACATAACAACAGTAACCCAGTTCACTTAATCCTTTAAGGTTGTCAGGCCAACAACCTCGACAGGGGTGTTAGTGTAATTTGACCAATCTAAACAAGCGTGTGTAATTAGGCCAAACAGGCAAAACATCAAACAGTAGCTGTGCTTACAAAAATACAGCCCTTTAACATTACCTCGGTCGCCTAAATAACCAAAATTTAAACTCAATAGCAAAGCTTATATAACCTTATCTCCAAGACAACCCAAGTTTCAAAAACTGATTTTCTATCTTCAGACACAGTCATATGTATGCAATTGAAGAAAATTAGAAGTTAATGTATGAAATTTACCTGAAGAATTAGAAGAAGAAGGACAATTTCTAAGATGGGTTCGTGGAGGAAATGGTGGAGATGAAGAAAGCAAGTTCCTTCCTGCCTCCATTGCCATATCTGTGTGGTTTGTGTGTGTGTTTCAGTAGCAAAATTCGCCCCCTAGGCGTTCTAGTAGCAGACTACAACATGGGCTTGTTCTAGTTTGGTTGTTTTTGTAGATAAAGCAAGAAGAAAGAGAAGGTCGACACTGCTTCATATGCTCTCTTCAAAAATCGGTAACTCATCTTCTTCTAGAGGATCAGGTTGTTCTGCTACTATATCGCCTTAGTGTAATTGCGACAATACCCTTTGTATTTTTTAAATAAAAGCCCAACCAAGAAGATTGGGCCCAACATACTAAAACTTGAGTGAGAAGGTTAGACCCAACTTGAAATCTAGATCTAGACCTTCAAAAAGCCCGAGTTTCACGGCCCTGTACGACGAAAAAATGATTGGTGGGAGGATTTCAGCTTGGGCCTTGTGGAATATATTTATTACGTGAGCTTGGATGGTGCCTTTCCACCTTTATTTTCTTCCGTATTATAGCATAGACGAAAAAGATTTTATCTCTGTGATCACTGACTCTTCATATTCTGTATTATAGCAAAGAAGAAAAAGATTTTATCTATGTGATCTCACTGACTCCTCATATTCTGACTTACAGCAGAGAAGAAAAAGGTTTTATCTCTGTCATATCTTACTCTTCGTATTCTGCATTACGGCAGAGAAGAAAAAGGTTTTATCTCTGTGATCATTGACTCTTCATATTTTCATTTTTAACTTGGTTTTTTTCTATGTCATGTTGGGTTTAAAAACAAATTACATGTAGAAATCAAAATTAATCATCAATTAAAGAGAGATTTTGATATCATACCTGATTAAAAAAAATTAACTATAAACACCTTTAAGAATTCCTTATCGCCTTCTGAGAGATCTGAAAATAGAGCGCTTTACCCCCTTCTGAAAGTTGTGATACGATAGGACTGAATAAGGGTTTTAAAACCCCTATATATAACAACAACAGGGGGACGGCTTCTCTACAAACAAGCATATCAAAGTCTCCATTCCTATCATGGAAACTTAGATATCAATGGTTAGAATTAAATCACACCAAATAAGTTGGAAAACCACAATCCAACGGTATAAAACTATACTCCCAATTAGACTACCAAATTGGAAAGTACAACTTAATCCATCAAGTATCAATAATCACACTGTAATCCTAATTTAGAAAACGTAATACATAGGACCATAAAATAATTTTATAATTTAAATATATATATAAAATTCCAACAATCTCCCACTTGGTCCATGCACTCTAAGTTCTATAAAATGACACTATGGATTGCAACATACTTTATAAAAAGTCGAGTGGCCACTCATTTTTTATTTAGAAAACACAATTATCGAAATTAATGGATTGAAACTTTAGAACAATCTCCTCCATAAATTTCCTCAATAGTGGATCATGAATGCGTAGACAAGTAATATATTAGTCTAAACAATTCTATGGTCTCAAAACCGATTCCATCTAGGATTCAAACAAATATAGTGGTTTTACTGTATTTCATGAGATGCGCAAATTGCATGTGGTCTAAATGCATACCTCACTATCCGTCCTATTTCATATCATCGTGGTATGTCACCTGAACATATTACGGCAAACCACCAACCTTCTGTTCAGTGTGAGGGTTTACCGATATGGTGCCAATCTCATATCTAGCCCAAGCTATCCTCAAAGAGCGTTAACACTCCCACAGGCAAACTTTAGTAATTATGTTTGGATTTACCAATGTGGTGCCAATTCACATTTAGCCCAAACAACTTCATGAGTGAAATACCACTCTCAGGCAACAAGAATAACACGCGCACATATCATATACAACAATGTAATAATAATAATGATGATGCATCATAACTTTATTTTCATGCAAACAACTGTCACCATAAGGTGTAAATAAACTGAAAGAAAAACAACTGCAATGTAACATGATGTAATAGAGAAATCAGACATCATAACACAATGACTCTTGGATACCTATCCGAATCACGTGCTCTTTAAATATTTTTGGCTTAAAACCTCTAGTGAGAGGATCTGCAATCATCCTTGCTGTATCTATATGGGGAACCTCAATAATACCTTGTTTAACCTTCTCGCACACGTAAAGGTATTTCACATCTATGTGCATATTACGCTTGGTCAATTTTTAACATATTTTGTGACAGCTTCATTATCACAGAAAATTATCAAAGGCTTGTGTATGAAGTCTACAATCTTTAAATCCGCAATAAACTATTTCAACTACATGGCACGTTTGGTCGCTTCATAACAACTGATCAACTCTGCATACAGAGTTGAATCTGCGATAATAGATTGCTTAGAGATTTTCCATAATACAGATCCCTGAGCCAACATAAAAATATATCCAGAAGTGGATTTCCTACTACTCGAACAACCTGCATAGTCCGAATCAGAATAACCAACTATCTCCAATTAATTTGATTTCCTGTATACCAAGACAAACTTTTTTGTTCTCTTAAGATACCTCAAAACTTTCTTCACAGCCCTCTAATGAGCAATACCTGGATTTTGCTGAAATCCTCCAAGCATCCCAACCACATAACTAATATCTGGTCTAATGCACGTCATAGCATACATCAGACTTCCAACTACAAACGCATATGCGGTGATATCAATTTTACTTCTCTCAATCTCAGTCTTAGGACATTGTTCCTCTGAAAAAATATCCCCTTTTACAACTGGAACCTCACTAGGTGCACAATTTTCCATCCCAAAAGTTTTTAAAATTTTATTAATATATGCCTTTTGAGATAAACCAAGTGTGCCTGAAGTGCGATCTTTATGGATCCTAATACCCAAGACAAACTCAGCATTGCCTATATCCTTCATATCAAAATGACTTGATAAAAAACTCTTCGTATCATGTATTGTAATACCCCTAGTTTTAAAAAGGATAAAATTGGAATTTAATTATTTTTATTTCATTTTTATGTGACTAGTTGCTTGGGTGTTTAATTGTTTTCTTTCATTATTTGATTTAATTGTGCAATTTAATTAGTTATTTGATTTAATTGAATTGGTTTATTTGGTAAGTTGATTTAAATGATATAGTTTTAATTCTTTAATTTACTATTTTAATTTAATTATTTGTTTTCCTTTCTTTATTTAAGATTAGGGTTTTAATAGGACGTCATATAGGTATCTGTTATATATGTATATGATTAGGATTTTATCGGCTGACTCTAGTTTGATTAGGGTTTTTGTCTTAACTCTAGTTTAATTAGGGTTTTCTAAGTGCCTATATATATATGTGTATGAGTTTTTACTGAGGGTTGGGAGAACCTTATTCACGGCACAGTGGAAATAAAACAGAACAAAGAGAGAGTTGAGAGAACAGAGGAAATCATAAGAGCTACCAAGGAGAAGAATAGAGGGGATCAAGGGAGGGTTGTGATGGATTAAGTCAAACCCATAGGAGGCTTGAAGGAAGAACTCCATCCGATTCCTGAACCCCTGAAGAGTTCCTTTATCTACCTCCTTTAAAGGTAACCCAAAAGGTTAACTATCCACACTAACCCTATAAGTATCGTTCACTATTTTATTAGCGAACAACATCACCCTCGCGCGATCCTTTACTGACAAGATTCAACACCCTCTTTCTGGGGTATGCTATAATTTTCTCCACTAGAATCCTTTTGGGACTCCTATTCCCCGTTTGTCTCCTTTATGAGAACAACTGCAATCGTGTTGGTCCCTTCATGCGGTGACCTCAAACACACTCCTAAATTCTTCCTTGGCCTGTACCTCTAAAAGTAATGCCAACCGGAACTAAACCTTTGATCCCGAGTTCTGCTTCTGATAAAGAACTTGATAACATACTCCTTTACTCCTTTGGGTCTGTATCGCTGTTGCTGCGGACCCCATCCCCCTTCTAGTGTCAACCATTCTATACTTATAGAATATAATTGACATCAGCTGCTCCTCCTAACGAACCGTAAAAGAGTACAATGAATCCTAACATAGCTCTAAGTTTTAAGAGACGCAACGCGGAAGACTTCTAACGAAAGACACTCCTAAGGACACTAGAACCTGGAGTGCTCTGATACCAACTGTGATACCCCTCGATTCTAGAACCACGGGTGATCAAGTCCGGTCCGAAGGATACTAGACAATCAATATATAAACAAGCAGGAATAAAATTTGAATTAAGAATAAAATAACAAAACGCTGAAAGAATTCTAAAATAAAAATCCTCAACTTAAAATAATAAATTAATAACATTTAAATCCTTCAAATCTGTACAACTCGGGAATCCATCTAGTGGACCCCTAATAATTCCAACTGGTAAAACATTTACAGAATTAAAATCCAAAACCAAAATAAGAAAGAAAATCCTATGTAGTTGGAAGAGTGAGTGACTGTATCTGCATCACCACGATCAAACCCTAAGCCTGGTACTCACGAACACCTGAAAAATAAAGGTGGGTCAGGCCCACATGCAAGTTCCATCCTACTACAATCCGTACATAAACCCGATACGCAGATACATCCTAGATAGCTCGGCAATATCTACAATAGTCCATAGATATATATATACACACTATAGGATGCTCACTAGCCTATAATATAGTTCAGCCTGGGTAGAAGGTGACATATAAAACACGCTTTTCAGTGGCCAATTACCTAGATCTACCAGGGAACATTAGCTATATCTAGCTACTCAACCTTTGCCATATACGCACCCTAACCGTGATCAGGAGACTCAAGCTCATATCACGGTACCATAAATATATATATAAATTCTTTCCTAATGCAGAAAGATAAAACAAACATCCGTTATGTCATTCAACTATTTTAGTTGACAGGACATGCATCCATGTAGGATTTAACTGTTTTAGTTAATCCATTCCGTATGTATGAAAGGGGTAGGACTTAGCTTTTTGATATAATCCATCCCTGATATGTCACCGTCCCATACCGGTACATATAATGCAAATGATTCACAAATAATGCACATCCATTAGAACATCAAGTATATCTAGAAACCAGCATAATAGAAAGCAGATATTGATAAGATCCTATCATGCATCCAGTATATGTTTATAATCATAGATCCTCCTTTTAAATTGTTAAAATAAGAATAAACAATTTAAACCATCCATTTCCATGGAACTGACAGAACCAAAATTAAGACAGTTCAGCAATTATCCTCCATAACATAATATAATGAATATCATAATTTTAAACTGCACATTA